GACCACGGCCTCCTTGGAGACCGCGGTGCCCTGCGCCGACGGAAACAACGGAAGGTCGAGGTTCGGCATGCCTGCTTCGTCGTGGCGGTCAGGATAAAGTGCACGCAGCGTGGCACGCTGGGCCCACAAGGCGCGCGCTGGGCATGCGTTCGCGAAAGCGCCGGACCCGCAAAAACATCCACGCGTGCGCTCCTGGCCCAAAGCCGATGGGTCCGCGTTGAAAGCGGGAAGTAACCAAGAGGCCTGGAGGCCTGATGGGGCCATCCTGAAGGTGACCATTGCCGCTGGCGCTGTGCTGATTTCAATTTCTCTGGTGAGCCACCAGCAGCCGGCGACCAGCATGCGGAACGGCGCCAGCGGACCCCCGGGCCCCGGGGACCCACGCCTCGTTCCCTCGCGGGAGCCGGTCCAGCTGCCCCAGCGGCAAGCCTTCAACTTTCCGTGCCGGGCCGAGGCCCCTCTCGCAGGACCGGCGTGCGTCCTTGAACGCTTGCGCCAGTGCCGGCGAGACCGGATGGTCTCCTTGCTCATGGCGCTTCCTGGCTAGTGCCAGATATGATCTCGCAGATCGGTACCCGCCCAGCTTCAGCGATGCCCCCAGGGCCCGGACTGATGCGACCGTGAGCGGGGGGTACGTCAGGCCCCACATGTCGAAGATCGCGTCGATGGTGCGGGCCTTGGCGGCTTCGGTGTCACGGGACGTCGAGGCCAGGACGTCCGCGTCGAAATTGCGCAGGGCCAACTGCTGCCCCGCCGCGTCGCGAACGTCTGGGAGGGATCCGCGTCTATATGCCGCCCGCCCACGTGCGTCGGACCGCAGCGCCGGGATGGCAGGTGGATAGCCTTCCCTGCCACGGCCACTGACGGCAAGCGCAGCACTCAATGGCACGCCAACTTGGGCCCGACCCCCGGCATGAGGACGCGCCGGGAGTGCCGCGGGGAGCCCGATAAGCCCGGCGGCAGGCGCAGCGCCCAATGGCGCGCTGGCTGGGGCCCAACCCCCGGCACGAGGATGCGCCGGGGGTTCAATGGGGCGCCCGATGGGCCCGCATGGCCCCCCCCGATGACGCCGCGTCGGAGGAACGGCGTCGGCCAAATCGAGGCGCCTTCTTACCTCGCGCATTTGACTCCGAGATGGCTGCTCGGGTCACGAGCGGCATGGGCGGGGAGCGATGGCTGCGAATAGGTCGATGCATACCCGAGCGGGCGATCTCGGGAGGGCCCGAAAAAGGCCCAGGGTGGGCCGGGGACGCCCGGGGGCCACCCGTCCAGTTTTCAAGATGAATCCGCCGGGCGCGGCCTTCGCATGGAAAAACACACCTGATCCAGCCAGGCCCCGAAATTTCAAAAAATGCCGAACAGACGAAACAAGCATTTTTTGAAACTTTGAGGGCGCGCGGGAAGTGTTGATTTTTTCCAAGCAGAATGCGCCCCGGGGAAAATTAAGATGAAAACTGGGCGGCGCCCGGGGGCCTTCCACTGTAAACTCGGCGGCGCACCGGGGCCCGCCTCCGCCGCCAGAAGACCTAGGGTCGGCCAGGGCCCCCCAGAATTGCGGGGACGTGCCGCACAATTTTCTGCCGAGTTTTCAAAAACTCATCAGAAAACCGGGCGCAGGCGGGCGCTCAGACGCGGCCGCCGGAGCCGCCCCAGGGAATTCTGAGCGCGCATGCAGGGGCGCTCAGAATTCGGCCTCCGCACGGCGCCCGGGCCGTCTCGGGGAGGGGGCCCGAAAGGGGCGCGACGGGGGGCCGGAGGGCATCTTTTCCCCAGCGCCATTTTCAAACGCACCCCTCGGTTACAGCGAAACTATGGAATGAAGGCGGCCGCATGGCCCGGAGCGCATGGTGCCGCGATGGGGCCGAGGCCCGCGGCGCCGAATGCAAGCGCCCCGGCAGACACTCCCCCGCGGAAATCACGGCGGCCGCATGGCCTGGAACGCTTGGCGCCACGACGGGACCGAGGCCCGTAGCACCGAATGTAAGCGCCCCGGCAGCTTCTTTGGCGGCTCAGCCGTCAGCCTCGACAAGGCGTCAGCATCGTCGTTGAGCTCCGCGGGGATGTGCGCTGTCGTGAACGTCCAGTTGTAGCGCGCTTTGCGCCACGCGATCTCGCGCGCGACATCCAGCACGTGGCCGCGCCCCTTCATCGCGAGGCCGTCCTGGAGAGCAGCGACGCTGTCACCCTGGATCGTCAGGACATGGTCCACCGCGCGGCGCCCCCAGAGAAGGAGGCACACCAGCAGCGTCACGAATTCCCATAACGATTGCCAGCGTGAAACACCCGCCTCCGCCTCGAACAACGCGAGGATCGTGGAGTCCCACGCGACCACGAAGTACTCCACCGGCTCGGCGGCACGCCAAAGGATGCCGCCGCCGCCCCAGGGTGATGCGTCGAAGGTCGCCAGCACTGGCGCTGGCGGAAGGCCTGCGCGTCCGGCGCCGGCCGTACCATTCGCTGCAATGGAAAGACGCAAAACTCATGCCCTCGCGGCTGCCATGGCTGCCCCGCCCTCTCGAGGTCCGTCGGCTCGGACAGGAGGGCCATGAACCATCGCGCGGCTGTCCGAAAGCGCGCGACGGCCACGTGCCCTGGCTGGGCCTCTGGGCGACCCTCTTCCACGGCCCGTATGCTGGCGGTGAGGGCGGCCCAGAGCATGGCGGCGAAAAGCGCTGCAGTCGGCACTACCTGCGCCACGCGCGAGCCCTTGCCAGTATGGAACGCGCCGCCGCCAAGGGCGCGCAGGGTGCGCCGCCTGCGAACGGCTGCAGCGACTCCAGGAACGCGTCAACGAACTCGGATGTCAGGGCCATCACGGAGCAACCTGCCCAGGTCGCGTACGCGATTCCCAGCCACTGGTGGCATGCCACTGGCGCGGGGCCCGGAGCCCCGGGTGCCAGCGCGGCAGCCTTGCCACCAGCATGCGCGCCCTTCGACCAGGCGAGGCGGAGCCCGAGGACCAGCCACCAAAGCAGCACCAGGTCGAACTCCAGCTCGCATGCGGTCGGCGGCCCCGCGGCCGTCATGACAGGGTCGTCGACATAGAGCTGGAGCCGGAACGCGTCTGCGGACGCGATGGCCTGCGCGGCGCGGGCGGCGAAGCTGCCGAACCGGCTGCACACCAAGGGATTGCTCTTGCCGCCGAAGCCCAAGACGTTCCAGACGATGTAGGGCATGCTGCCAAGGCCCCGCAGCCCGGGGACCTCGGCGCAGTTGCACGGCTTCTCGTCCTCGCGGAGCGGCATGACCATGAAGGCATCCACGAAGTCCAGGACGACGACTTCCACGTGGTTCTCCGACGACGATAGGTTCGCCAGGTCCACCGCGCGGTCGATGCCGCGCGGGAGCACGACGCGCTCCCACGTGAAAGCTGCGCTGTTCACGCAGTTCACCTTAAGATCTTGGATGATCCTGTGCTTCCAGGCCCCAGTGCGGCGGCGCTTGCTGATATTCCCCAGCGGCGCTGGGTAGGTGTGCCCGCGATGCCTTTCAGCGTCCGCCCGCGAAGGGAACTCTGTGCCAAATCCCTTCTCCAGGTACTCCCGGATCAGAGCATGCGTCGGAGGCACTGGCCCATCGCCAAAAGTTGCCTGGAAAGAGCCATGGTTGCCGCCGTAACTACTCAAAGACGCCTTCCAGCTCCTCGGGCGACAGAACAGCAGGTGACGGCGCCAGGGGGAAGTGCCCTCCAGGAGCGACCTCCTGCACAATTCCCATGGGCGCGCCGTGCTGTAGCCAGGCCCCCACGTACGTGCACGTGTCATGGGACTGCCTGAGCGCGGCTTGCACAGTGCGGTGGCGGAGAGGGGGCGACGGATGGGGCTCTCCCACGGCTCGCCGGTCGAGGCCAAGCGCGGCGCCGGCGGCCCGACGCGCAAGGTCAACGGCCGCCTCTGACGGCGGTGCCCGTGCCCGGCGTTCCCCGCACGCCCCTGCAAGGCCCCGGAGCTCCCGGAGCCCCGCGCGCACTGGGAGTAGGGCGGCTCTCACCCTTGCCATTGTCTGGCGCAGCTCCGGCCACTGAGACACCACTTGGGCGGGGTTGCGCAAACCTGCCGCGCAGACACTGTCCTCTGCGGACCTCCGCTCCCGGGCACTGGAACCCGCCGTGCCGCGGAGAGGGTGCGGCAACACCCTTGCCTGGTCGTGCGGATCCTGGTCTGGCTGTCCTGGCAGCAGTCGCGCAGCCGGCGCAGGGGGGGCCGCTGCGTGATCCTCCGACGGCTGCGCCGCCCGGGCGCGCGATGCGCGGCCCGGGCATGATGCGCCAGATGGCTCGGTGGCCCGGGCCGCTGGATGGCACGCCAGCGCCGGAGACGGGGATGGCGACGCGGGTGCTGCCCGATTCGGTGCCGCGCTGCCCCCAGAAAGGCTCCTGGAAACCTCCAGCGCGGGAGGTTCCTGGGCAGCCCGCTGATCTTCTCGGGGATGTCCTGGTAGGGGTACTGCCGCGTCCCGGCAGAGCCGGGGCGGCTCGCCGCCCCCCGCGCCTGCGCGATGCGCCGTCACGGGGGGCTCTTCGGCGGCTCACCGCCGCCCCCGGCCGCCCCTGCCAGCACCCCGGCCCCCGCCCTTCTCAGGGGGCTTCCAATCGGTCGGGCGCTTCGGGCAGGACGACCCAGAGGTCCTAGAGTTGTAAGTTTTAATTCTTGCGGCCAAAATGGCATCATTTGTAACTTTTATCTTACAGCCCTATATCTTAATGTTCTAAGATAATGTTGGTTTTCATATATATATATACATATGTGTGTTGTACACATACATGTGCACATATTGTTGTAAACGCATGTGTATACATATGACGCGTGTTTACAAGCATTGCACGAATTGTGAGGACGTCTCGTGCGAAACTGGGAACACGGGCTGGGGGAATGTATGTTCGTGTGTGCTGGTGAGGATTGGCTTGTTTGGAAATGCCGCCGCTCTCCGTCTGTCGCGTTTCTCGCGCGACGCGGCCGTTTTGCCCCGAGCGGCCCCACTCCTGTTGGGGCCGCGCCGCCATGGCGACGGCAGAGGACAGGAAGTCTCGAGAGACGTGCACTGACCACAAGAAGTTGTCAGAGGTCATTTTGCCGTTCGTGGACGGCCCCGCGTTTGTGAAGTACGGCACTCACCCAGGCCAGGACAAACTCACGGATGATTGCATTCTAGCCCTGCAGAGGGACGCCAAAATGTTGCGGGCCATCAGGGGCGTCTCTTCGAACCTCACGATGACGAAGGCCACGACCGATGCAGCGATGATGAGCATTGGCAGATCGAAGGCGATAAATCAACAAACTCAGAGTCATCCCAGTTTGCTCCATCTCAAAAAAAGGAGGCGGGGGGTGCCAATATTGGCATCCCCCTCCCCCTTCGTTTTGAGACGCCCGCCTCCTCGCCTCCCCTCGCCTCCTCGCCAGGCGGCGGAGTGGACCTACGACGACCAGCAGATGGAGAGCTGGGCGATCGAGAAGTCGAGCATGCTGAGGTCCATGGCAAAGCACTTGTACCAGCCCTTGCGGAACTACACAGCAGGCAAAACGTATCCTAAGTGGTTCGCCAAATTCGTCAGGATTGCCCATGGTGCCCCAGCAGCTTCGCCTTCTCCGACCCAGTCGCCTCCGTTCGACAGCTCGCCCACTACCCGCCCAAGCCGAGAACCTGAGGGCAACGCGGAGCAGCTTCCGCCGACGGGTGAGACCAGCGTGTACCATCACTGGGGGTGGGACTCCGCGCAGGGGAAGGCGTGGCGATCAAAAAAAAAAACAGGCCCATACGAGTTGACAGATGAGATCTTCGCGCCAGAGGGCGCGACGGACACCAGCACCATGAGAGCGAGGTTCTCCGACGGGATGGTCTACGCGCTGCCGACGTTGACGAAGCTGGCGTTCGAGAGCATCGGCACTGAGAAGAAGACAGCATCCAAGCAGTCGTTCGTCGGCCACAAGGGCGATGAGAGAGTCACAGTCACGGAGAAGCAGCTGAGGACCAGAAATGACAAGACCCTGGAGATTGGCCTCGTCATCAACGTAGACGGCCGACAAAAAGTACAGCTCAGCTACGATCATTGCCCTGCTGAGCAAGCCCGTGAGAAGATGCACACCTGGGCCAAAGCCTACATCAGCAACACCATGACGATTGATGAGATCAAGGCCGCCAGGTGCATACCGTCGAGGAAGCGGCCTGCAGCGGCATCGGCAACTACGCCAGCAATGAAACGCCCTGCAGCTGCGACGGCCATCGTCGCCAAGAGGCCTGCTGCTGCACCTGCTGCAGCTGACGCCGAGGATGATCGTCACCACAGCGACGAGGACGAGGACGAGGGCGAGGAGAGCGAGGAGGGCAGCTTCGAGAAGGACGAGGAGACGGACCCCGACGACACGAGCGGCGGCGACGCGGAGGAGGACGAGCTGCCCGCCAAGGACGGCTTCGAGGAGGACGAGCTGCCCGCCAAGAAGAAGCAGGAGCTGCCCGCCAAGAAGAAGCAGGAGCTGCCCGCCAAGAAGAAGCAGGAGCTGCCCGCCAAGAAGCAGGAGCTGCCCGCCAAGAAGCAGGAGCTGCCCGCCAAGAAGCCCGCGGCCGCCGCGGCGAGCCCAGCTCCAGGAACTGACGAGGACAGGGCAGGACCAACCTTGGCCACGATTGAACCTCCTCCTCCTACTCTTCCATGCCCTCCCTGTTGGTCGTCCTCCTCATCCGGCTCCCTGCCCCTTCTCCTCCTCATCCTCCCCCTCTTCCACCGAGAGGCCCCCCTCTTCCTCCGCTGGCCTCCAGTCTGAACGGTGACGGCTGCGCGCCGACGATCGGTCGACGATGCATCGACGATGCATCGACGATGCATCGACGATGCATCGGTGCCGCTGTCGGCGCACGAGTGGCCTCAACCGAGATCGAATGCGAAATCCGACTCGATCGGCGATGCGGACGACTGCGATGGCGAGATGATAGGCGGAGGACAGGGGAGGGGCAGGAGTAGCAGAAGGAGGAGGATGAGGAGGAGGAGGAGGAGGAACACAGCACCTCAAGGACTTGAAAACAGAGCCCGAGAGCAGCGAGCCGAGCAGCAAAATGGCTGGGAGAGAGCAAACGAGGATTCGACGTAGCCGTAAGAGAGAAAGGATTATGCAACTTTGGGGTGGTGATATTGAATCAAGTGTGGGTGCGTGCGTATACGCAGATGTAGAAAGATATAGAGATGCACAGAAATAGAGGATATATATAGAGAGAGAGAGAGAGAAAGAGAGAGAGAGAGAGAGATAGAGAGAGAGGAAGAGAAAAATAGAGAGAGAAAAGAGAGAGAGAGTGAGAGAGAGAGATACAAAGAGATAAAGAGAGAGAGAGAGAGAGAGAGAGAGAGAGAGAGAGAGAGAGAGAGAGAGAGAGAGAGAGAGAGAGAGAGAGAAAGAGAGAGAGAGAGAGAGAGAGAGAGAAAGAGAGAGGCGGGAAGGTGGGTACCCGTCCTACTCCCACGATGGCCCCAGCGTGGGGCATTTCGCCGGGGCGTCGCCAGGTGGCGAATTTCTGACGTTAAGGAGCCTTAGCGTTAGAAGATCGTCCCTGTGGGGCTCGTTTCGGCGAGCTTCTAACGTTAATCTGGACGCCCGAGATGGGCACGGAAAGAATGGGTACGATGCCAAACACCAATTCCTGTTTATTTTGAGCAGGACTCGCTGTCCGCGCCGCCGCGGCCTGTGCCCATTCGAGACAGAAGGCCGCCTGCCTAACAACGGCCGCTGTTGGTGTGGGGCAACATTCGGTTTTGGGCATTGCACCCATTCTTTCCGCACCCATGTCGGGCGTCCAAAGTTAAGGCCCCTTAGCGTCAGAAATTCCCCCTCCCCCCCCCTGTGGGGCTTGCGTTGGCGAGCTTCCGACATTAAGGGGCCTTGGCGTTCGAAAATCAACAGTGTCTTGCCGTGCCCCCGCGCCCAGAGGAGCCAGCGCCGTCGGCAGCTTCTGCGAGCAACCAGGGGTGGAGCGACATCCCGAATCCTGGTGCGTCTCTGTTCGCCAGACTTCGTGGCTAGCGGGTGGCTGTCAAAAAAAGAACATAGCGGTGCGTTCGCACCAACCCGTTCGCCCATGACCCCCCCCTCTTGCTTCTTCCGTGGGCACCAGAGGCAGCCGAGCAGCTTGAACCACATAGCTTACGCCATAGCTTGCACCGCAGAGCTTCCATCGCATACAGCTTGCACCAGATAGCTCACACCGCGTAGCTCGCACAGCTAGGGGCGCGAAGATCTCAGATGACACCCGCAGCATCTTGGCACGAGGCGTTTCGGGCTTCAGGGGCCGCCCACTGTGTTTAGTGACCAGGGGCCCGCAGCCGTCCGCAGGGATGATGGCAGAGCAGATCTCCGTAGAGATCTCGGCGAGCAGCGGGGACGAGGCGGTCCACGTCTCGGAGAGCCCATCGCCAGGCTCCGTCTCGCAAGCCCCGAAGCTGGCGCATCGATGCATCGTCGACCCATCGTAGATGCATCGCCGACCACTCGCCACCCCCAGCCGAGAGGAGAGGGGGGGAAGGGCGAGGAGGAGGAGGAGGAGGATGGAGAGGAGGAGGGGGAGGAGGAGGATGAGGAGGAGGAAGAGGAGGAGGAGGAGGAGGAGGAGGAGGAGGGAGAAGGATAAAGGGGATGATGAGGAGAAGGAGGGGGAGGCTGGGGATTAATATCAGAGCCACCCCTAGCAGTCCCAGGCATAGGGAATGACATCATCAAGATGTCCATGGAGGCTGAGTCGCCAGGGCTGATCGAGGCGCTGGAGGCGAGCAAGCACGACGTGCGCATGACGCAGGACGAGCTCGAGAAGTCGGAGCAGCATCCCGAGTCCGCGTGCAGCAACGGCGACAGCTCGAGGCCCGCGAACAGGCGGTCCGTGCACATGCGGGAGAGCATGGAGAAGGCGTGGATGGACGGGATCTCATCTGATGACTTCGACCACGTGCTGGCCCACGGGATGACGAAGGGTCAGGCAGAGCAGCTCACTGACAAGACTGCGGCCGTGGTCAAGCGAGCTCGATCCACGAGCGATCTCGACGAGGACGCGGACTCGGACTACGTGGCCGAGAGCGAGGACGAGGAAGATGGCGAGTGCTCCGACACGGGCACCGATGAGTACGGGGACACCCTCCAGGACTTCATCGACATGAGTTTCACCGAGACCGCGGCCGAGCCCGAGAAGTCCGACGACGGGTCCGACGACGAGCCCGACGGCGCCTCCGAGGACTCCGACGACAAGCCGCTGGCGTCCGTGGCAGGGACGCCTAGGCCTCTGCCGAAGTCGGCGCCTGTGACTCCTGCGCAGGCGAAGTCGGCACCTGCGACGCCCGTGACTTCGTCGGCTGGCACGCCGACGTCGGCTGCCTCCGCCGAGCCAGCGGCGGCGGGGCCCGCACCAGCGCCGCCGACGGCGGCAGCTCCAGCGCTGCCTCCGCCGCGCAGGCCGGCCAGGCCAACGCTGGGGGCGACGCTCAGGGACGTCGTGGGCAAGCACGCTGACATTGCAGGCGCGGGCGGCGGCGATGTGACGCCGACGACTGGCGGCCTGAGCCACGTGGATGTCACCCCGCAGAAGGACCCGAAGTTCGAGTTGGCGACTCGGGCCCAGGACCTGCTCATGAAGAAGGCCGCGGCCATGCCAGCTGGGCATGCTCAGGAGTCGACGGGCTCGCTGCGATGACCCCGACGCCAGCTGCACTGGCAACCTCGCATCGGCAAGACCGCAGTCCTGCAGGGCTGAGGTCTTGCCGATGCGACGTGCTGGTGCGCCCCAGCGCGGGGGTGATCAAGCTGGGCACCTCTCAGGAGACTGGCCGCACATCGTTCGCCAGCGTGCACGCTGGCGGCGCGCATGGCCCGCCCGCCAAGGCGGCCAAGGTGGACTCGAAGGGCAGGGTCATCGGCGAGAGGAACGCGAAGGGCGACGAGGAGCTGATCAAGGCGGTCGAGGAGAACGGCGGCTTCTTCTCAGCGGCTTCGGCGGCGCTCCAGGCGCGGTGGGGGAGGGACCTCAAGAAGAACAAGAAGCTGAAGGACGACTACAATGCGCGTGATGACCCTGAGGCGTTCAAGGCCGACTGGGCGAAGGCACTGGGGCCGAACTCAGCAGGCGCGGGCGATCTCTCACCCCCTGCCCCTCCCGATGTGTATGTCTACTTATCTATCTATCGATAAACCTACTTATAACGGTATATAGAGAACCAGACAGACAGACAGGTATACAGACACATGCACATCGGGAGGGGCAGATAGGGGGAGGGCGGCCGACCGCGCCCGTGGACTTCGGCCCCTTTCAGAAGAAGTACCCAGCCGTCGCCTCCAAGAAGCGCGAGTTCACGCGCGCGAGCAAGGAGGACTACACCAAGGGCGGGCGCCTGGTTTCGTTCCTGAAGATGTGCGAGCTGGAGGGCGGCCCCACGGGCCACATGGACAAGTACACCGTCGAGTGCTGCCTCATCCACGCGCAGCGGTGCCTGTCCCTCGGGTACCCGTTTGCCCAGCAAGATTGGTCTCACAAAAGTCAAAAGAAGAAAATATGACAAAAACACAAAGAAGACAAAAAAAAAGAAAAACAAAAAAAGACACAAAAACAAAGAAAAAAAAAATAAACAAAAAATCAAAAAAAAAAGAAAAAAAAAAAAAAAAAAAAAAAAAAAAAACCCCAAAAAAAAAAAAAAAGAGACAAAAAAAAAAAAAAAAATAAAACAAAAGCAAATCACAAAACAAAAGATCACAAAAAAAAAACAAACGAAAAAAACAAAAAAAAAGAAAAAAGCAAATAAAAAACAGAACAAAAAAACAAAAAAAAAAAAATAGAAAAAAACAAAAAATTAAAAGCAAAAAAAAGGAAAAAGTCACAAAAAAGGGCATCAAGTTCATGCATTTCGAGATCGGGTACCAGGAGTCGTTCACGAAGCTGTGGTCAGAGCACACGTCGCAGGACATCGGCCAGGCTCCCAGTGGCCAGCCCCTCGCCGCTGGGCTCGACAACCCGGGCAGCAGCAGGCTCGGCGAGCTCGCCGAGGCCAGTGGCGGAGACGACGACGGCCAGTCTGCAGGCGCAGCGGATGATGATGAAGATGATGAGCAGGCGGCAGTCGGGGGCGGCGCTGCTGGCAATGGCGAGAATGACGCTGGCGAGGGGGCGGCCATCGGCGCGAAGCCACAGGGTGAACCTGCTGTGCTGGGAGGCCCCAGGCCGAAGAAGCACGGCGACGGCCAGGGCGGCGATGGCGAGGGAG